TGGTAAGACCAAAAATCTATAGTTTCTATTTATTAATCTTTTACATTTTATATTATCACATAAATAATAATAAGGAAAAAGGGAGCAGTCCTGGAAAATGACATGTAAAATACTACCTTATTGTACTAGTGATCGTTTTAGATAAGTTTTAGACCCTAAATATTCATAAGAAGTTGGCAGAAGGATTTACATTTGAAAGGAATGCTTATGCCTTTGAAGTGATGAGCTCTCCCATACTTGGACTCTGGCTTTTCCTTTTCATGCTTCAAAAAATAATTTTGCGGCAATAACAGCTTCTATTCATTGAGTGTCTACTGTGTGCCATGCATTGGGCCAAGTGCTTTGTGCATATTATGTCCTAGAATTATTAAGATAAAAAACTGAGACTGGACCCCAGGTCTGTATGACACCCGTTTGGACTCTTCACACTGAACTTTATCGTGGCCTTGGGGATTTTACTGCACTCCAGGAGGGCTGCCTGGAAACCTGCATTGCCAGCTTTATCTCTACCCTATTGTTCCTGGCCACTGCTTTCCCATTTGAAGAGTATGTACTGGAAATGATAATCTATAGCAACAGAGAAGTAGGAGATGGCAACCTTGAAGTAAAAACTTGCTCTGTTGATTTAATGATGACTACACAATGTCTAATTATAAGTTGTCATAAGCAGTATCTTTTGACTCTATTATTCCACTGGAAACTTTGTCCCAGAGAACAACAAATAAAAACTTGCATTTTTTTTTTTTTTTTTTTTTTTTTGCTGCTATATTATAAGTACTATGGTAGAGGTATATTCTTGATAAGAATTTCCTGACAAATTTAGGATACAAAGGGTTCTTTCCCTTTTTTGAAATCCCACTTCTTATCTATGGGGAGAGATTACAGGAAGAGTCCAGATCTGACAGTTTAAAGACATATGTTGTGGTCTATTTTACCCTTAAGCAGGCAGATCAAGAAAAGTTTGACTGACAAGACACACCTTTCTACACAAAAGAAGATTATTAATCCAAGGAACAATGTAATAGCATCCCAAGTCCCAATAATATTTTGTTGTGGTTGGCCATCAAAATATTTTCTCAGACTGTGTTGTGGTGATTGATATATTGTCAGTTCAAATGTGCTTTTTGTTCCCACTTGAAGCATTTCATCATTTTGTTTTTAGTTTTAGTTTTTGGTTTTTCTTTTCTTTTTTTTTTTTTTTTTTTTTTTTTTTGAGACAGAGTCTCGCTCTGTCACCCAGGCTGGAGTACAGTGGTGGGATCTCGGCTTACTGTAACCTCTGTCTCCTGGGTTCAAGCAATTCTTCTGCCTCAGCCTCCCGAGTAGCTGGGAACACAGGTGCAAACCACCATGCCCGGCTAATTTTTGTATTTTTAGTAGGGACAGTGTTTCACCATGTTGGCCAGGCTGGTCTCAAACTCCTAACCTCAAGTGATTGGCCCTCCTCAGCCTCCCAAAGTGCTGGGATTACAAGCGTGGGCCACTGCGCCTGGCCCATTTGATTACTTTTAAAGACAGAAATAATGATGGCATCATTTTGTCTTCTCATCTCATCCTTTGATCTTTTGCCTGATACCCAGCCCCAGGGATGCTTGGTGTACAATTGAATAGCCCACCTGTCTCTATGCCACCTGCCTTGCATTTCAGTATCTGTCTCCAGTTCAGAAATGCTTTTGCTCCCTCTCCACCCAAGCTCCTAGCTTTCTCAGGCTATACTTTCTTTTTCTGTTTGTTTGATTTTTGTTTTTAAGACAGAGTCTTGCTCTGTAGCCCAGGCTGGAGTGCACTGGCACGATGATCTCGGGTCACTGCAAGCTCCCCCTCCCGGGTTCACGCCATTCTCCTGCTTCAGCCTCCCGAGTAACTGGGACTACAGGCGCCCGCCACCATGCCCGGCTTAGTTTTTGGATTGTTAGTAGAGATGGGGTTTCACCGTGTTAGCCAGGATCGTCTCGATCTCCTTACGTGGTGATCCGCCTGCCTGGGTCTCACAAAGTGCTGGGATTACAGGCATGAGCCACCGTGCCCGGCCTGCTATACTTTCATTTCCTAGACCCCAAAGCTCTGATTTAGGTCCACCCTTACCATTATATGTATTTCTCTTCTTTCCATCAAAATTAGCATAATCTACAGTCAGAACAAAAAGCACTGAACAAAACATTGTGCGCAATTCAACGACTTATGATAACCTCAAATACCATGCTGCATGAAGTCACTTGCATTGGCAGACCCATGTTTCATATTTCCTCACCTGCCCCCTCCTCTGCCCTCCTTACCACCTCTCCTAATGTCCATCCCAATGTGCTGTCAGACTACCTGCCTTTGTGCTCTTACCTCTCAAAATCTTCCACATGTATCCTCCTCTGCAGCTGCTGAAGCACTCAGTCCCCCTGGGCACCCTCCATCTGACACCCTGCTATGTCACCCTGCTGTGACCTCCGCCTCCTATAACTTTCCACCCTCAGTCAGCTTGAGAACACTCACGCTTTGCTTACGTTCCTGCTCAAAGGCACCTTATCTGGGAAACCTCCCCCAGTTCCCTCGACAGAGCCCCACTCTCTCCCTGTGCTCTCAGCACTTTGGCACATATTGATTATTGTCCTTAAGGTGGAGACTGCTTGTTGGCTGGAGATTGTACTTCTCTAAGCCAAACATGCCTCTCTAAGGCAAGGAACTTGTGTTACAAGTAGATGGTATGCGCAGCCAGTACTAGGTGCTCAATAGACGTTTGTTTAATGGATTACGAAGAAAATACAGTATATATAAAGAAAGAAGAAATTCTGTCATTTGTGACAACATGAATGGAATTGAAGACCATTATGCTAAGTGAAATTAGCCAAACACAGAAAGACAAATACCACATGTTCTCACTTATATGTGGAGCCTGAAACAATTGAACTAATAGAGGCAGGGGGTAGAATGGTGGCTACAGAGGCTGGGGAGTGAAAGGAGTAGGGAGGTAATAGTTGAAGGGTACAAAGTCTCAGGAGGAATAAGTTTTTTTTTTTTTTGAGATCAGTTGCATAGCATAGTGAATGTAGCTAATCATTGACTTCTGTACATTTTAGTATCACTGAGAGTAAATTTCTTCTAATGTTCTCATCACCAAGAAATCGCAAATATTTGAGGTGACAGAGACATTAATTAGCCTAATCTTTCCACATTGTATTCAAAAATCATAACATCACTTTGTATCCCATAAATAAATACAACTGTAATTTGTAAATGTATGATAAAAATTAAAATAAAAAAGAATTGAAGATGTTCTGCTCCATTATTTCTCTCTCTTCTCTCTGTCCACTTTTCCCCCTGCCTTTCATCCCACCTTTCTCTTCTCCCTCATTCTCAGTGTAAAGTTGGAGGGAGGCAGAGTCAGGCAGATTTGGGTTTAAACCACAAGTATGCTACCTAGGAACATTATAAAGAGCATAGATAATGACATCTACCATGTCATGTGGTAATTATGAATAATAAATGAGGAACTATACGTAAAGTTGCCAGGGAAGTGCCTGGAATGTAGTAACAACTAAACACTTGCTCATTCTGCTGCTATTATGATTAATATTATCTCTACTGCTACTGAAAGCTTGAGCTGTTTTTTGTGCTGTGATGATTTGGCTATCTGAGATACTTTTTAACATTTTAGTTATTTCTATTGCAGTGGAGTTTAGTAGAAAAGAAAAATAAAGCTATTTACTATATATGGAGCATTTGAAAGGAAAAAGGATAATGGATAATCTAATGTAAATGAGAAGATACAAGCATATAAAAGTAAGCATCCTTCTGTACCATGTGTTCATGGCATTCTGTATTTGCAAATAGACAGCTGCTACATGTATTTGAGCTCTTGCTAACAGACCCTCATGTGATAGAATCCCTTGTGGACAGCATAATTGATGACAGAATAACGAAAGGAAGAAGAGGCAATAGGCAGTATAATTGTTCGCCTGCCCAGAGGACAGATTTAGCATTTGGGATCTATCTGACATCTGACAAAAAAGAGAAGCTGCTGGATAAATTGGGCGGGGCGGGAGGGATACACATTAGCAATTAGCTATAATAATGGCATCTTGGAGGGATTTTTTTGGTCGGTTGTTTTTATAAAATCATAGGCTGGGATCCTAAACATAAAGATAGGCCTCAGAATAGGATTGCTTAGGAGAGACGCTAGTGCCAAAGAGCCCCAAATTCAAGTTTTTAGAAATGTAAAACTTCTGAGAAAGCTTATTTACGGATTGAATGAAAATGGAAATGATACATGGGTATGTATACAATTTGAAAAAATATTTTTCAAATTTAAATATATTTTATTTTAAAATATTGAGAAATAAAGGTCAAATATATTCAAGGTATATAATATGATGATTAGATAAATGTATACATTGCATAATGCTTACAATAATCAAATTAATGAAAACATTCATCACCACCCATCGTGTACATTAGAGCCCCAGAACTTGTTCATCTGATAACTGAAAGTTTGTACCCTTGACGATCATCTCCCATTTCCTCCACCCCCAGCCCATGGCACCCACTGTTGTACTCTCTGCTTCTACGAGTTCAACTTTTTCAGATTCCACATATAAGTGAGATTGCACAGTATTTGTTTTTGTGTGTGGGGGCAAGAATATCTTTGAAATCTTAGTAAGAGGCAAAATGAAAAGCTTCATAGTAGTGAATAGCACCATTGAATTCCTCTTGTTGATTTATACTTGCTAAGATCTGCTATCATTCGTGATCAGTAAGTCAGAAGGCTATATGGGTGGCACAATTGATCCATGTTTAATCACTGTTCCCTCTAGGAGATTGTTATAGTTCTCCTCAGGCCTTTAGTCCAATCCAGCAACCTGCACATGTTAAATTTGAGGGCAGAGATAGTGCCTGTTTCACATACCTCCAGGTCCACCATGGTGAGCAAAATGCCTGCTGCAACACAGACGTTCATAACTATTTGTGAATTATTTGTAAGAAATGCATAACCAACAATTTCACTGAAGAAATACAATCATATATAATTTAATCAAACCAAGCACTGATTTATCTGTTGTTTATTAATAGTGTTCGCTAAAATGTATGGAAGACATATTACGAGCTGAGTCTTACCCTCTGTGATTTATGTACATTGTCTTCAATCATTATGACAAGCCAACAGAATAAGCAGTTTAGAGCAGTGGCGAGAATGTAGGCTTTGAGGTCAAACAAGCCCATGCTTGGCTGCGCCTCCTTCTAGCTTTATGACCTTGAGCAAGTTGCTCAACTTCCCTGTGCCTCAGTTTCCGCATCTGCAAAGGAAGGATAATATTATTTCTCATAAAATTGCTTTGAGAATTAAATGAGATTATGCCTCTGAAACACTTATCCTGATCTCACACATAGTGATAATTGCTCAGTATTTTTTGCTATTTTTATTATGTTCCCTATTTTTTAAGTGAAGCAAATGAAGCTCAGAGATGTTAGATAACTTCCTCCAGGTTACATTGTATGTTAACAGTAGCACCAGATGAGTGAACCCAGGTCCATCTCACTTCATATTTGGTGATTTTTTTTTCACTTTGTTGTATATGCACCTATGTATGTATTTCAGACTACAAATATAAAAATATAGTTAGAGCCTGAATCTGTATACATCTTGAATATGATGTTCTGGCGCTCCAATATGTGGTAGTTTAATTGATTTAATGCATTTGATGCTTCATTGGTAGTCTGAATTATGAATGAATGACTAATACACCTCCAGAAAATAATATTGGCAATGAAAATCCTAGCCTAAGAATATTTGATGTCGTATTTGTGTATTTAGAGATACTTTAAAGACGTCGTTGGACTATGATCAATTCATTTGGAATTGATTATAAGAATTGTAAGAATTGGTAAGATTTCCAAACTGGTCACCTAAGATTTGGTTTATTCTGTTAACATGTAAAAATATGACCTTGAGTAGAAGCTGGAACAAAGGTTCGGTATGTCTGAGTATTTCCAATAAAGGCTGGGTCATCACCTAGCAACATGTCAGAGTCCCGCAGAGCTCAGTGATTCTGTCTTTTGCACTTGGGAATAAGGCTGTCCTTTGATGTGAGCCACTCAGTCAAGCATCACCACCCTGCTCTGGGCTCTCCAGACCCTCTTATCTTCTAATCAGGGCTCCTAGCCCCAAATAAAATGGAAAGATTAAGGGCTGGGCCCTAGAAATGAGGAATATTGGCATAAGGCTGGTTTGTATTTCATAATTCCTCATAGTTTTTGCAAACATTTTTGGGAAAATGATGAAACTGAGAATCAAGTAGCTTATAAATTAGTGGAGTTCTCACATAGCTCTGTACTCATATGTTAACTCTCAGGTACACACAGACGCCTCAACTACACATCTACCAGCTCGAAAGTTAAAGCAAAGTCTATTAGAAGTGATTCATTAAAAAAAAAAAAAAAATGCCCTCACAATGACCTTCTTGAAAGAAATGGCCCCTCCACCACTGCAAAATATGTGGGAGAAACCCAGGTGTGCAAGTTCTGACTGCAATGATATTTTTAATAAAATAAAGGAAAAAAAATTTTCTATTTTCATAGTATGACTTTTTTTTTTCTAAAATGCAAAGCACTTTCACACCCATAAATGTGTTACTTTTCTGCTAAAAGCAGAAAACGGAAAATTCTTATCTTTACATAGCTGGGTTTATAAGCTGCCACAGAAGAAACAAACAGAAAATTTAGATTCAGTTTCCTGGGCCCACAGAATGGTTCCCATGGGCTGTCAGCGGCTCAAAAATCAGGTCCTGCTCCAATACCAGATCCTGGAGGGCACACAGCATAGACTTATCCCAAAATGTGGCTTCTACCTTAAGTGCTTTCTGTAATGGAGATCTGTGGTAGTCATCCCAACCTTCCTTTCCTTTCTATTCCTGCAATTTAAACGTCTACTCTGCTCCATCTAGATCCCAGAGATATGTAGCATAATAGTTAAGTTTATATATGATTTTGCAGTCAGATTACCTGGACTCAAATCCCCATTCCACTTACTGTGCAATTTGGGTAACTTAATTTCCCCACCTGTGAAATGGAAATAAAGGCAATGCCTCTCTCACAGACTTGTTGGAAAATTAAATAGATCATACACAGAAATTCTTGGAAAGGTGCCTGGCCCTTAGGAAGTTCTTAATAAGTGTTAATCTATTTCCATTTTTTCATCCTAATTATTTTTAAAAATTTTATTTATTTATTTATTTATTTGTTTATTTATTTATTTAGAGATGGAGTCTCACTCTGTCGCCCAGGCTGGAGTGCAGTGGCACGACCTTGGCTAACTGCAACCTCCACCTGCCGGGTTCAAGCAATTCTCCTGCCTCGGGCTCCCGAGTAGCTGGGACTACAGGTGTGTGTCACCACGCCCGGCTAATTTTTTGTATTTTTAGTAGAGACGGGGTTTCACCATGCTGGTCAGGCTGGTCTCAAACTCCTAACCTCACGATCCACCCACCTCAGCCTCCCAAAGTGCTTGGATTACAGGCGTGAGCCACTGCGCCCGGCCTTTTCATCCTAATTCTTGTTCTTATTTGGCTAGACTGTGAATCACAATATCCTGGTGCTGAATTTTTCACATGGCAGTGCCCAGAGGTCTGTCCGCGACCACCTTTCTAAGACCCCAGAGCTGCACTAGTGTTTGTTCTGCCTTTGCTCTGGTCATTCAGCTTTTCTTATTGTTTGCAAACCAATAATCCTAGTTGAAATTCTTGTGTGTTTTGGAGTTGGTGCTTTGTGCCCAGACACCTGATTTGCCCCTCTAGATGTGTCTCCATCTCAGGACAGGAACCACCAAGCAACCCTTGCTCCATCTAAAAGTTTCAGAGGCTTCCATAACTCTTCTCTTTCTCTAGTAATTCCACATCCAATCTATTAGCAGGCCCTGTTGGCTTCACTATCAAAACATCTTCAAAACCTAGTCACTTCTTGCTATTTCCAAATCTTCAACCCTCGTTAAAGCCTCCTTAATCTGGCACTTGGCATACAGCAAAAATTTCCATATTAGAGCTATTGAAGACTTCAGAAAATCAGTGGCAAAGGTGATAGAGATAAGAAAATGCATTTGATACTTTTGGATATATAATTAGCAGACTTGGTAATTATTTGGAAGTGTTAAGTAAGAGAGATGAAGGTATTTACTGACGTGTACATATGCAAGATTGTGTGTGTTTCAGATTTCCAGTTTCTGACTTGAGTAACTAGATGGATGATGAGGCTATTAACTTCTTGATGGTTATGAAAGTGTCCTACATGTGAAAAGCTTGATTTTGTTGTAATATTGGTCACTTTTAGTTATGAGAGTTCTCCTGTGAATATCTGTTCATCTAGTAATAAGTGATATTTCTGTGTCTTTCTTAATATTCAAAATCATACCTAAGTTGTTAAAAATACCTAAAAAATGTAATAGCCTGTATGTTACCAACTTTTTATGGCCATGAGAATATTGGTTTAGACTTTACAAGAAAATATTACAGTAATAACAGTAAATAATCTTATTAAAAAATTAGTATGCTGTGTTAGGCATAATTTTATTTAATCCTTATAACAATATTGCAAGGAAGATACTGTCAGTGTCCCAATTTTATTTATGAGTAATCTGAGACATAGGCAACTCATCCAATGGCATGGAGTGAGTAAACAGGATTTGTATCCAGATTTTCTTCTAACTCAAAAGTCTTAGCACTTAAGTAGGATGCTTCATTTGCTATGGCTCATCTCTGTAGCAGAATTGTGCTGTTGAAATCCAGAAATACCAATATTTCCACATGGAGAATCCTAAATGATTCAGTGTAATTTTAAAAAATGACAAAAATATTTGAAATTATTTTGGCTATGTTCCTGTTTTAAGGTGGCATGGTATGATGGAGAGTTGGAACTTTAATCTGCTATTTGTTCATTCACTCATTCCTTTATTTGCTTAATACTTTTTAGTGCCCTTTAAATGCCAGAGACTGTGCTAGATGTTGGGAATACAAAGACAAAAGAATACATATACTTTAGTATACATTTACTAGGATGTGATCTTAGACTAATTCATTAACCTCTCTGAGTTCATTTCCTCATTTTTTGAAAATAGGAATAATAAGAATTTGCAGGGCTACTGGGAAGAAAAAGCCAAGTAAATATATGTAAAGTCCCAAGGATGTTGTTTAAAATATTGTGAGTAATCAAAACATGTCAGTTCCCCTTTGCCTTCACTAATTTCTTACAGGTCCTAAAGATATGATTTCTTCACTTGTGAACTAAGGAAGGCAGACTATAAAAAACTGAGCCCTTACAAGATTTTATGTTACTAGGACAAATTATATACTTGTGTAATCAGCGGAACTCATCTTTGATTTTTGCACATGGATTTGAGAAAACTTAGGCAATAAACTCTGAACTCTTAGGGATTTGAGGTGGGGTAAGGACATGGTGGTTGGGGACAACATTGTCCTCTGGGAGCTTAGCATCTTCTTGATAGATGAGTCATATACCCAGAGAAAATTGAATGTTTTTCCCTTTTTTCATTTTTTGAAACAGAGTTTTGCTCTGTTGCCCAGGCTGGAGTGCAGTGGTGCAATCTCGGCTCACCACAACCTCCACCTCCAGGTTTCAAGAGATTCTCCTGCCTCAGCCTCCCAGGTAGCTGGGACTTCAGGCGCGTGCCAGCACGCCAGGCTAATTTTTTGTATTTTTGGTACAGATGGGGTTTCATCCTGTTAGCCAGGATGGTCTTGATCTCCTGCCCTCGTGATCCACCTGTCTTGGCCTCCTAAAGTGCTGGGATTACAGGCGTGAGCCACTGCGCCTGGTGAAAATTGATTAATTTTCGACATCAACGTCAACAGCACAACTCTGCTATAGAGATAAGCCACAACACATGAAGCATCAATAATTTTCAACACGTTTGCAATGCAAGAGGCATCACTAAGCCAAATGAGTGAGAAAACACCCTAATGCATTAGAGTTCTGAGGAGGAAGAGGTTTCTGGGATAGGATGGCCTAGGAAGGCTTATGGACTCATTGTCCTCAAATATATCTCCAAAGATGAGTAAAAATTCAGATAGCCAGCAAAAAAGAAAGATGATTATCCATTAGGACGAATTCAGTTTAAGTGACAAAAACCTAATTCAGATTAATTAAGGTAAAATTGGGAAATAGTTGGCTCCTATAATTGAAAAAAACCCCAAATGGTAAAGCTTTGAGTACAGCTTTATGTAGGTGTTCAGAAATTACTCTCTTTATCTATCTCCTTTCTTATCTCTACATCTCAATTTTGGTTTGTGTCTGGCTGGTCTTCCTTTCAGGTAGGCTTTCTTACCAGGGGTGGCGAGATAGTACCTAGAACCCATCCCACCAGTTCAACAGGTCAGAATAAAGAGAGAATTTCTCCTTTACATTAATTTTAGCAAAAATCTCAAGATTTTCTCTGATTTATCAACTAGTCACATGCCCATCCTTGAAGCAATAACTGAGGGATTGGATGAAGTGGTTTTCTAGGCTTAGAAATACACACACCCCCAGAGAGGGTGGGTGCATAAAGCTGCACCTCAAATAGAGTGGGAGAGAGCAGATGATCTCTCAAGCAAAAATCAGTGTTTCTACAAAAAGAATAGAGAATAGATGTTGACCAGGCAAAATTAACAGATGTTCCTCTTTTTGAGGGTAAACTAGCTGAAAAAGCAGTGATTATCCAGTGAGAATGCAGGTATAGAGGAGGGGAAATACAAGCAATTTGATTATGTATTGTACTCCTCTTTCTACCTCTAATGCCTGTGTTAAAATATTTAGTTTTCATTTACCAGTGAAATTTGTCTACAAATGGAGTATTCTTCACATTGCTAATTTTGAATCTACATCCGCTACAAACTAAATATTCCTCGGACAAATGTTTCATCTGTCATTCTACGAAAGCCTGAGTAAACAGAAGTGGTATTTTTTTTTGTTGCTTTTCTCCTAGGCTCACATAAAATGTTATTGTTAATTCTCCATGGAAATGCCATTAAACGGATTTCTTTCACTAAATTAGGAGCATTCTTTCTAGCCACGAAAACTAATACACATTCATTCCCTCAGAATGAAGACAGTTTTTTTTTCCATTTTCCCAGCACAATTCCAAGTGACAAAAATATTTTGATGTAACAAATGAGCTTTCCCCAAAAAGTATCTAAATATTTGATGTCAAGTCAGTAAAGAACCAAGCATTTGACTGAATTATTCATTTTTCTACCTGATATCTGTGCATTCGGTTGATTTTAAACCGAGAGCAGCTTTAATGACCTGCTTCCAGGAATGTGTCTTGGGAGACATGCTTTCTGGGACCTCATCTGAATCATTTAACCTTGTCATATTTCAGTTTCCTTCCCCTCCTGAAAAGACAAATAAAAAGATGAAACTACGTCAAGAAATTATTGTGATGACTATAGTCAATAAAATTTAGACTAAAAGTGCCTCACAAGATAACAGGTGAAAATATACTTACTTTTATAAGCATTGACACATGAAATGAATGTCATTTCTCCAAATAATCTGTAAAATACATGGAGCCAGGGTAGAATGTCTAGAATAAAGAAACTGAATCTGTTGAGTCGATTACTGAGTTAAATATATGTTATCTTTCAAGATCTAATATGAATAAGTATAACTAATTTTGCCATGTTGATAACATAGTCAGCTTTTAATATATTTTAATATGTTAAAGTATTTTAATGCTACATAATTATCATATTACATTATTATTATTATTTTAGAGACAAGGTCTCACTCTGTCACCCAGGCTGGAGTGCAAGTGATGTAATCAGAGCTCACTGTAACCTTGAATTCCTAGGTTCAAGTGATCCTCCCTGTCAGCCTAGTGAGTAACTAGCACTATAGGTGCACACCAGCACACCCAGCTAATTTAAATTTTTTTTTTGTAGAGACAGGGTCTCACTGTGTTGCCCAGGCTGGTCTTAAACTCCTTGCCTCAAGTGATTCTTCTGCCTTGGCATCCCAAACTAATTTTTCAAAACAGTTTTTATTTTAAAAGTTTTAGATTTACAGAAAAATTGTGAAGCTCGTGTACAGAGTTCCCATATAACCTGAAACCAAGTTTCCCTTGTTATTAACCACTCTATAATTAATTAGTGTGGTACATTTGTTGTAATTGATAAATCCATGTTGAAAAATTATTTGTCAACTAAAATCCACACTTTATTCAGATTTTTCTTAGTTTTTGTCTAATATTCTTTTTCTGTTCCAGGATCACATTAAAGATACTGAAACTGCATTCAGTCATTATGTCTCCTTAAGCTCCTCTTGGTTGAAACAGTTTCTCAGACTTTCTTTGATTTGATAATCTTGACAAGTTTCGGGGAGTACTAGGTCTGCTGTTTTGTAGCACGTACTTCACTTGGGATTTGTCTGATGTTTTTCTCTTAATTAGACTGGAAATATGTGTTTGAGAGAGAAAGACCACAAAGGTAAAATGCCATTATATCATATCAAGAATATATATGATCAGTATGATTTAGGATGCTGATGATGACATTGATCACCTGGCTGAGGTAGCGTTTGTCAGCTTTCTCCACTGGAAAGTTTACTCTTTCAACTCTTTTCATACTTTTCTCTGGAGGAAAGTCACTATACCTAGCCCACACCCAAGGAGAGGGGAGTTATGCTCTACCTCTTTGATGTCTGAGTATCTGCATTAATTATTTAGAATCCTTTTGCGTGGGAGATTTGTCTATTCTCTTATTTATTTATTTAACATTTATTCACAACATTATGGACACATGGATATTTATTGTATACTTTGGATTATAATCCAATATTACTCAATTTGTTTTGTTGTTCAAATTTTCCCACTCTGGCCATTGGGAGCTCCTTTAGTTGACTCCTGTGTTCCTTTGACATACCCTCATAATTATGGGTGGGGGAGTTTTTACATTCTGGTATTAACAGATGCTTCAGGCTCATCTTTGATAATCTCTACTCCAGTCTGGAAAAAATTATTTCTCTGAGGAACTCAGGTCTTTTTTATCAGAAAATGTTATTAGAAACCAAGGTCTGGATAATTGTGCTCATTATTACTGATGTGTCTTCATTGCTTCTAAGCCCTCTCAGCTAAGAAGCAAGGAAATACATATGTGTATACTAACCCATGTATATGCACATATCCATAAATATTTCTGTATATACCTATGAGTACCTATACTGAGCTAAACATGAGTTTATATTAATGTCTCAGACTCGAATCCATTACCACATGGATCATTCTAGATTTCTCTCTTTGCTTGTCTATATCCTCTTACTCCAATAGTGAGAAAACTGGCTCCTAGCCTCAGCCACCTATTTACATAATTGTTTAATCCCAGTCTACATGTGTACTAGTATCAGAATGTCTAACTCATACCCTATGGAAAACAACTTCATCAACTACAGCACAGTCCTATATACATTTTCTTTTGCCTTTAGCTTATAGACTTCACTATTTTCCATAGTTACTTAGGTTAGCACCACTTTCCCTCAATCCCTCCAGTGAGATTGTTTTGTACATTCCTAATAGAGTTAAATTGTTTTGTTACATTCTGCATTCTATTCTGGGATTCCCTGAACTCTTAAATTATTTTTTAAGATTTTGCATGCATTAAAGTTCATTCTTTGCACAGTAAAGTTCTATAGGTTTTGGCAAATGCATGTTATATATCTATCATAGCATGTCATACAAAATAGTTTACCCACCTTCAAAAGTCCTCTGTGCTTGTCCTGTTCAACCCTCCCTCCAACCTCCACAAACTCCTGACAACCACTGCTCTTTTTGCCCTTTCCAAAAGATCATAAAATTGGAATCATATAGTATGTAACATTTTCAGACTAGCTTCTTTCAGTTAGCAATATGGATTTAAGATTTATCCAAGTTTTTCCATGACTATAGCATAATTTTTTATCACTGTATAGTATTTCATTGCGTGGATGTATCAAATTATTTTATCCATGCTTCTACTTCAGTTGGGTTACTTCAGTAGAGACATGAAAAAAATAATTTCTTTCCCATTTTTTGCGATTATGAATAAAGCTGTGATATACATTCACAGGCAAGTTTTTAAGTGGAAAAAGTTTTCAAATGTTGGATAAACACCTCGGAATGTGATTGCTAGATAAGAATGTACCAAAATGTCTTCCAAAGTGGCTGTATTATTTTGCTTTTCTACCAGTAATGAATGTTACCATTGCTCCACTTTCCAGCCAAAAATTGGTATTTTCAGTTTTTTCAGGTTCTGTATTTCATTACTGTTTAATTTTTCAATTCCCTAATGACAATATGGAACATCTTCTCAAATGCTTGTTTGTCATCTGTATATCTTCTTTGGTATAGAGTCTGTTTAGATCTTTTGCTGATTTTTAGTTGGCTTTTGTTTTCTTACTGTTGAGTTTAAGAATTCTTTGTATAATATGGATACAAGTCCTTACTCAGATATGTGTTTTGCAAATATTTTCTCCCAGGCTGTGGCTTGTCTTTCATTGTCTTAACAGTTTCCCCTCCTCACAGAGCAAAAGTTTTTCATTTCAATGAAGTCCAATTTATTAATTTTTATTTTATGGTGTTATATCTAAAAGCTCATCATTCAAATCACGGTCACTTAGATTTTCTCCTAATTTTTAATTTTAAATGTTTGTGGGAACAATGATTAACTCTTCCTTCATTTTTGATATTGATAATGTGTGTTTTCTCTCATTTTTCTTGCTTAGGTTGATTAGAGGTTTATCAATTCTATCAATCTTTTCAATCATATTTTAGTTCTATTTATTTTCTCTATTATTTTCCTGTTTTTAATTTCATTGATTTCTGCCCTAATTTTTATTATTTATTTTCTCCTGCTTATTTTGAATTAAATTCTTCTTCTCTCTTTAGTGTCCTAAAGTTGAAACTCAGATGTTGATTTTGGATCTTTCTTCTTTTAACATTTCTTGCAGAGCAGTTCTGCTGACAATTAATTTGTTCAGTTTTATTTGTCTGAGAAGGTCTTTAGTTCATCATTACCTTTGAAGAGTAATCTCACCAGATGCAGAATTCTAGATTGTGTTTTCTTTTAATGCTTTAAATATTTCACTACATATTCTTACTGCTTGCATTGTTTCTGACAAGAAGTCCACTGTAACTGTAATTCTTCTCCTTAGCCCTCTATAGTGGAGATGCTTGTTTTCTTCTCCTTCTGTCTACATTTCCTCTTTGTCTTTGGTATCGTGCAGTTTGAATCTGATATACTCAGGTATGAGTTTGGTTTTGGGCGAGGGGAGATTTATCCTCTTTGGTACTCTCTGAGCTTCCTGGATCAGTGGTTTGGTTTCTGTCATGAGTTTTGTCATGGCCGTTAATACTTGAAATATTTCTTTTGCCCTGTACTCTCCTTCTTCTTCTGGTATTCCAATTACATGTAACACTTTTTGAAATTTCCCAGAGTTCTTGGATTTTTTTACATTCTCTTTTTGCTATGCATTGCTGTTTCAGAAAGTCAGTGTTTTAAAAAGATAATAATTTTAAATACTCACAAAAACTAGATTAAAATTGCCACAGGGGAGGAGAAATACTGACATTTCTATTGACCTTTCCTCAAATTTTTTGATTCTTTCTTCAGTTGTGTCAAGTCCACTGATAAGCCCAACAGAGGCATTCTTCATTTCTATAACAGTTTTTATATATTTCCAGTATTTTTTCATTCTTTGTTAGAATTTTTATCTGTCTGTTTACATTACCCATCTTTCCTTCCATATTGTATACTTTTTCCAGTAGAGCCATATTAATCATAGTTATTTTAAATTTCTTGTTTCATTATTCTATGATTTGTGTCATATCTGAATCTGGTTCTAATGCTTGTTTTGTCTCTTCAGACTGTGCTTTTCCTTGCATTTTAGCATGATTTGTGAATTTTTTGTGTGTGTGAAATCCAGGCATGATGTATCAGGTAATGGGAACTGAGATAAATAAGCCTCTAGTATGAGGATTTATGTCAATCTCACCAGGTTGGGTTGTGTTTAATGTTTGCTCTAGTGATAGCGCCAGAAGCTTCAAATTCCTTTTGTGTCTTTTTGGTTTTTCTGTTGACTGAGTTTCCCTAAGTACTCCCCCTCAAAAGGACTAAGTCTGGCGGCTCTTTCGTTCACCATTCACCATTATCATACAGGAGTCCTTCTGTGGTGGTAAGGAGTGGGGAAGCAGACTTGATCTCTAAACTTATGATTAAATCTGAGTTTCTTTGTGGGCCTGTGTGCCTGGGCTGACACCTTTGCAGGTGTTTCTTAGCTCTCCACGCTATAAGTTGGGGAAGAAAGGTTAGTATAAACGACAGTAAGAAAAATGCCTGTCTTCTCAGGTGGGACAGGGCTCTGGTAAAGTCTTTGACCTGGAAGGTAGACCTTTTTTATGGAGAACATTTGGGGTATATTTGTTGATAACTCTTCCCCTCCTCCTGCCAGAGCCACAAAGGAATCTTTCTTACCTCCTCACTGTGAGAAACTGGTGAAGTTTCTGGAGATAAAACCCACCAAAGGATGGAGGTTCAGCAACAGCTGCACCCCCGGCAGTTTCTCCTCTCCTGCTCGTCCACAATCAGCCTCCAGCAATTCATCAAAACCACCATTAAAGGGTCCCTCTCAGTTTATGGCTACAGTAGC